CAGAAAGAAAGGGGCTCCAACCCAACACAACTTGGATGAGCAGGAGTTATTTCCTAGATTCCCTTAGACTCTTCACTGCTTCCACCATTTATGGTTTCTCATTTTCTACTGTGGCTGCTCTTTCCACACCCTCACAAAAGATTCGTTTCTTTTGTGACAGGCAAACCTAAAACACCATTCCATAACCCCTTATCTGCAAGGCTTACATCTCTGAAAATCAAGAGATGGTGTTTGGGGATTTGTTGTCTGAGAGTTTGACCCCACACGTTGCCAAAGTCTGGCCTAAATCCATGTGAAGTTACCTTCACCTTCATTTCATGTGACCATTTATTTCACTGCGGCAATGTTAATGTGACCAGTTACAAGGTACTCCCCAAGACCTCACAGGTGGGTGTTGCAAAGTGTATGGCTTCTTCTGAACCCTAATGTGCTGCTGGCTTTCAGGGACCCTGATATGGGCTTGAGGAACTGTACTGACTTCTCTGTGCCTTTGTAAAAGATCTGCTGGAAGAGAAACCTCTCTAAAATCAAAGGTTGCCTGGCCTTTTCTCTCCATCTGGAAAGCGAGAAGGCAACCAAATGGATCATGAGTGTCCTAAGGAACCCAGAGACAGCAAATCTTCTGGTTTGGTGAGAGAGAGGTTGACTTGGTGTGACTCCTAGCAACGTGCAAAATTCCTGGGAACTGTAATCAAAGGACAGAGCTAGTTCCTAAGAGGCCCTGCTTCAATAGTCTTTCAGGATGATAGAAATAACATACACAGTGCTTGGCGTTTTTAGAAAGTGAGTGCTAGCTAGAATTTCTAGTATTTTTTTAAAGTAAATATGTTTCATTGCAATTAATTAATCAAAACACACTGTGCTCACTGTATGCACAGCTTCCCGCTGAGTTTTCTGGGGAGCCAAGAATAAGGTACTAGAAAGGGTCTTCCACGGTGAGGATAAGGCCAAGATCTGTGCATGAGAAACGAAGTGACAGACAGCATGTACAGCAGCGTACTAAGACAATGCAGAGGGCGGAAAAGGCCAAGTTCCTGGGTCAGCAGGTGGGGAGGGAAGACAGCGAGGGTGGCAAAGATGGGAAATCACGCTTTCTCATGTTCGCATCTCAACAGCCAGTGTCCCGGATAAGAATGGACAAGGTTTACAGGGAATCAGTATGGGAGAGACTTCAATAGGGTGGGCAAGACTGGGGTTAAAGTGTTGGGAAGTGACTAAACAAGCGGAGTGGGCAAGGAGTATGCTGGAATGTGTGTGCAGAGTCTGCTGGAGTTGCTGGTACAAATGCCACAGACTGGCCTGCTGGTGTTACAGAGATTGATCTTCTCACAGCTGGAGACTGTGAGTAGGAAGTCCCAGGGCAAGATGCTGCAGGGCTTCATTTCTTTCCTTCTTTCTTTCTTATTTTTTTAGATTTATTTATTTATTCATACAGAACTGGGGTATGGGCCAGAGGTGCGGGCGGGGGGGGGGGGGTAGTGGTGGTGAGAGGATTCACCAGAGACAGAGTAGGGAGCAGAGCAGGCAGATTAACCAAGTACACTGCTGAAGGGAGCAGCAGGCAGGTCAGGAGAGGCCTGCTGCACCATGTGGGTCACCTCTGGGGATCAAGGTAGCACTGAAGCGGTTTGGTGAGCACTGCTTGCTTGCAGTGCTGCATCCTAACCCATTGCGCCACCAGGGAGGGCCATGGCTTGATTTCTTAGGAGGCTGTTCCCCTTGCTTGCAGGTAGAACTCACAGGCCTTTCTTGTGCACATGTGTCCATGCAGATATGGGCACCACCAGGACTCTTTTTTTATATATATAACAGTTTATTTTTACATTGTTTAGTACATTTTTTTTTCTTTTCATCTCAATTGTAATCCCCGCGGGTACCACCAGGACTCTTCTTAAAGGCCACCAACATACAGATTACGATTCCATCCTCATCAACCATAACGACCTCTCTAAAGGCCCTATCGCTAAATATAGAGTGATACTAGAAGTTAAGACTTGGGGGAAGGGATACAACTCAGTCTATAATGTGCCCCCCAAAAGCAGAACAGCTTGTGAAAACAAGATGTCTACTGTGAGCTGGGCAGGACAGGGCTGGACCTCCAGGTGGACATTGCCAGGAAGAGAGTGAATGAGTGTGGAGCCTATTATTAGCATAATCAGAAATTGTAGGACCAGGACTGCCTGACCCCAGGGCTCAACCGTCACTAGCTCAAGTACAGAATCCAGGCTGCATTCCCTGGAGGACTTCCTGGGAAGAATCTCTCCATCATTTCCTGCCTTTCTCTGTCCTCCTCCAGCACCACTGAGCCCTTACCTGGCTCATTGCAGGGAAGTGTGAGATTGTTATAGAGCTGTTTTGTGCAGAAAGCCTAGTCACATCTGGATGGCTAATGCTGATAATTACAGTGCTGGTTACAAAATCTGTCGGGTTTTGGTGAGCTGAGGCTCCACAGCTGCTCACAGCTTCACCCGCAGAGAGAGGTGAGAACAAAAACCAAGAAAGGTGTGTTCAGATGCTTGGGACTGAGAGAAACTGGTTAATTACCAGGTACTTGCTATCTCCCTGAGTTGAAGTTTCTGGCTAAGGAACGCTCATAGATCAAACTGAACATGACAACCTGCAACTTATTTTCACACTGAGGGTGGCGGGGACCAAGACGCAGAGGAGAGAGAGCATGGAGCTGGTCTCTGGGCGCCTGGGCCATCACCACGTGACTCAGATGCCTTCAGAACAAGGTGATGCCTGCTGCAGGAGAGTGCAAGCCCTGCTGTGGAGAGCGCTGGGATGTGCGCTTTGCTGTAGACTGTACTTGCTACCAGGGCAAACTTCTTAATCTGGGGGTACACGTTAAGGATTTGCTAATTCCCTAAAACTGTATGTCAACATGTGTGTATTTGGTTGAACATTTTTCTAAGAAACAGAATCACACTGTCAATTAGATTCTCAGAAGCCTCTTTCCAAAGGTTCTGTGATCGTCCAAAGGAGGGTGATTATAAACCACTGCTCTAGAGACACAGGTTGACCTAAGACAGAACCCCAGGAGAGACTCTGGGTCCCCAATGGTAATTTCAAGGTGTGTGTGTGTGTGTGTGTGTGTGTGTGTGTGTGTGTGTACATAAGTGTTTCCTTTCTAGATAAGGCTTCAATTGTTTTTACCAGATTCTCAAACGGGTCCACAGCCCTTAAAGGGTTAAGAGCATGAGTTCCCTGGGTCCCTAAAAAGCAAAAGCATGCTTAGCTCTTTCTTTTCAAGGGTGATCACAGAGACCTAACAGGCCCAAAGCGGCCCTGGTAGATCTGGTCAAAATCTGGGGACAGGGGCCCTCCCTGGTGGCGCAGCAGGTTAAAGCACAGCACTGAAAAGCTAAAGCTACTTCAGCATGAGTTCAATACCCACCCCAGAGGTGACCCACATGGCGCGGCAGCCCTCTCCTGACCGCCCACTGCTCCCCTCAGCAGTGTACTTCGTCAATCAGCCTATTCTGCTCCCCACTCTGTCTCTGGTGAATCCTCTCGCTGCCCTTGTGCCTCTGGCCTGTACCCCAGTTCTGTATAAATAAATACTTTAAAAAAAAAATCTGGGGATGACCGAGCCTGGGGCCAGGGCTGGCTGGCTGGGCCCTCCATAAAGAGCACTTTGAGTCAGTTTAAGAGTTAAGTGCCCAGAACCCAGGGTGATGGGGAAAACATCCCCGATTTCCCCCTTCCCTGACAGCATATCCCCAGATCTTCCTCTTCCAAAGCCCAGTGTCCCAGCTTTCAGAAACCCAAGACCTTACTCGTGGAAGCCCACAGTTTCTTTAATAAACACGGAGTGCCTACTATGTACCAGGATCTATTCTCGGGGCAAAATAAGAGACTTGACTTCAAAGTGCTATCGACCTAGACCGGCTTTCTGCCCCGCACACAGGTATTTTGGGCACTGCTGACCAAGCGCGTTCCCCAGAGCTGGAGCCCCGCGGCCCCCGTTCTGAGAGGCCGAGACCATCGGGCGGCTCAGCGAGGCTGGGGGCTGAGGAGGAGGAAACAGTACCTGTGAGCAAAGCAGTGAAGGGGGATGGAAGAAGGCGCCGAGCCAGAGCCGGTGGGCCGGACTCAGCCCCGGCTCTGGCCGG